GGGGCTTATAACCCATGGACACAGACAATAGGACAGTAAAGGCCTAGGGGGTGGGGTTGAGAGGGTCAATATTCAAATAGGTAAGTTCCAAATTTCTGAGAAAATATGACACAAGCCAAGAGAGAGAGATAAGCAGCCGAAAGAAGCTGAAGAAGAATTGTACAAACACATGCAGGACAAGAGGTTACTCTCTTCAGAGAATTTGGGGCGGTATCATTCACATCACGCTTATAAAAGAACAGCCTTCTTAATTTGTAACCATATGTATAGGTATTATATTGTACATTTATAATGGGTGTGATTAATTTTGCAAGACCCCTTTCCTATGTGCATGCATATGCGTATGAGTATGCGCATGTATGTGGAGGGTGGTGTGGGATGGGGAGCTGGAAAAGTACTAGGAAGTCAGTATAAAATTCCATTGAAACATACAGATTTGAACCAAGTAAAGTCACTATTGTGCCTCAATGGTGGAAAGTCTGTTGTAGATTTTGTTCTCAGGACTACAAAATGCTAACTTTTTCATACAAGACTGTTACGAGGAACTTTGGAGTTTGAAGTTGACTGCTGGGGCCATTGCAGATACCCCTTCACTGTACTGAGGGCAGTTTGTATAAACAGTACTTATTTATATATGCATGCATTTCAGATTTGCTATGGAGCATGCCCATGCCTTTCCCTAGCCCATTCCTCCCCAAATCCCTTCCCCCAGAGGGGTTTCCTTGTCTCTCTCTCTCTCTCTCTCTCTCTCTCTCTCTCTCTCTCTCTCTCTCCTAAGCTCAAAAGCCCTTCTTTTGCCTCTGTAACTTGTTTCCTGAACCCATTTCTTCCACCTCTGTGACTTTCTAAATAAACGTTCTCTTATAGTTTGAAAAAATTCAATATAATAAAAATAAATAAATAAAATCTATGTGGTATGGAAAACACAAAAGGCTTTGAACAGGTCAGGGAGCAGTTAATCCAAACTGTTTTCCTCTGTATGTATTTCTCAGATTAATGTTTAGACCAGTGAGTCAAGTAACTCAACCAGTCAGAACTCAGCCGTGCCCTGATGAGCACTGGTCACACACACAGTGCTTACCCAGTCGTCCAAGCCAGAACAACTGTGATGTTAGCTGATAGCTGTCGTGCATCACTATTAGCACAGAGTAACTCAATGTGACCTCCCTACCTGTGGTTAGTGACATTTTAAATGTCTGCAGATATGACAAGGGCAGAAAATTTTGAATCGGACTGTGCAAAATATCAAAGCAGGAGGCTTGGAAAGAATTCTATGTGCCTCATTATGATTTTTTTCAGAGTTGTGTTTGCAGTCTGTGGTTAAGGGTGCAGGGTTAGAGATAGACTAGGGAAGAGATTGGCACCATGAGTTTTACATGATTACATGTAAAACTATCTCTGAGGCTAGGCAGAGAAAGGATTGGAGAAAGACTTGACCAGAGATGGGAAAATACTTTGGAGGTCATTATAATACTACTACAGGCCCGATGCATATTAGGGTTTTATATATACTAGTAGATGGTTGAGAGAGAATAAAAGACTGAACTACAGCAATGAAAATGGTAATTAAGAGAATAACATGAAGAGCTAATGTAGGAGCTCATCGTGGTTTTGGAGATGTCATGTTGAGCTCTTGCTGGTGTACAAAGCCTACGCTTAGTACCTAGTGAGTAATTGGCCCTCACCTAGACCAGCCACTGGTAACGTTGCCCGAAGCACTGGAGACCACTGTGAGCTGTGTCTGCAGGTAAACTGTCACTTTAAAACCTTCCCTACAGAGAGACTACTCAGGGTTTGGGAAACAAGTTAGTTAAGGTCCCCCCAGCCCCTCCTTTAGGAGCAGGCATTTCCTGATGAGGGATGATCCCAGTGAGACTGGGAGCTTCTCAGGGACAGCTCCGTAGCAATCTTTGCATTTCCTGCCCAGCACACAGTAGCTTTTAAAAATAAAAAATAATAATAGCTTGAAAATGATCCACACTTTCCATTCAGCCTCCATAATGACTTTATTTAAAATATATTCCTGGTTACAACAGTATATCTTAGGAAGTAACTAATAAACTGTAAGAAATGGAAGCATAAACCATACTAATCAAAAACAAAGCTTGAAGGAACAAAACTGAAAATACCATTAACAAATCAGACGAGCCCTAGGGCTGAAAAACAATACAGTCCAGAATGGTTAAACTGAAAACACCATGGATTAATAAACTTTGTGAGGGGCAAGGATTTTTGTGTGTTTACCTGCTATAACCTCAGAGCCTAGAACAGTGGCCCAGCACACGGGACACTCAATGCTATCCCGGAAGGAAGGAAGGAAGGAAGGAAGGAAGGAAGGGAGGGAGGGAGGGAGGGAGGGAAGGCGACAATTAGCTTTTTTTTGGATTCGAAGTTGATTTGAGTCTTTTTTATTATTATTATTTGTTCCAGTTCTAGAACCAAAGAAAACATCTCTCATGCATCTGGAAGTAATTTTTTATATGGAACACTGCCAAATAGTGATATTTTAATCCCATCAGGAATAGAGAGTAGAATGGAAATTGTTCTTTCTCTCATGACATAAGCCCTTATTCTCTTGCCTGTCCTGCAATGCTAGGAAACTTGAGATAGAAAAATCGTGTGTAGATGCCTGACATTCTGTTCTCTCCAGGGAAATAAACTTATTTAGCTAATTTAGTATTCCTTGGTGAGCTATCAATGATTGTTTGTTTGGCAGAGATGTTTTTCTCTAGCTCTATGGCTATGACATGACAAAAAATAAAATATTTTTAAAAAACCACAATTGAATAACGGGAGAATTGTCAAGTAGCATACTCCTGAGACAATCACATGTTATGTCCGGCAGCGTTCTTCGCCAGGCGGGAATGCGCTCAGTTCATGCATTCACTCAGTTCCTGTGCAGCACATCACACATTTTCAGTCTTAAACTAGCCAGGTGGAGGCTTCTGAAGACTTGCATGCATGAATTCACTTATTTAACAAATACTTATTTAGTATCTACTAAATGCCAAATTTCCAGCTATCTCCTGGGGATATAGTGGTGAATACGACAGAATCCTTACAGGAGCTTTCATGAATTAAAATGCCTTTTTGTTGTGGGACTTAGTTAAACAAAAAATGTGAAGGGAAAGAAACCATAACGTTTTCTGAAGTGCTATTTTGTGCCAGGCACATTTTAGAGGGGTATCCCTAATCGTCCTTTCTAAATAGCTTCCACCCCACCCCCGCAGCCTTTTCTTTTTTAATCCTGCTTTTCCCCCTTCCAATCCCTACTAATTTTTCTTCTTTTCTACTAATCCCTACTTGACATTGTTCACTGTTCTCTCCAGCTCTCAGAGCAGCCGATATAGGTTTTTTGTAGGCATGGCAAGAATGAACACCAGAGATAGAAATCCTTGTTTTACAAATGAGATCAAGAGTAGCGACTTAAATGATTTGCACATGATTGTACAACTCTTAACTCAGAAATCAGGGGTTTAAACCTTGATGTGAAGACAAAGCCTGTCACGGATATATATATATATATAATTTCAGAGAGGAAAGGAGAGGGAGAGAGAGATAGAAACATCAATGATGAGAGAGTCATTGATCAACTGCCTCCTGCACACCCCCAAGCCTGCAACCTGGGCATATGCCCTGACCCAGAATCAAACCATGACCTCCTGGTTCATAGGTTGACGCTCAACCACTGAGTCAGGCCGGCTGGGCAAAGCCCATGTTCTTTCTACAGTGATTCCTCTACATGCGCATTTCTTTACAGAGATATGACTCTGTCTTCCTTTGTTAAATACAATTATGGGAAAGACACTTGGAGGTGCAGAGATCTTGCCTTCAAGAGCCTGACAATCTAGTTTCAAGGGAAAAAAGATCTGGAGATCCAAGTGAAGTGTAAGGCAATGCCTAGGTATGAAAGGAATCCCAGAGACTGAGCAAGAGGAGGGCGAGCGGGCCTGGTCTGGGTCTGCTGCCCCTGGAATATGAGTAAAATAAGTAAGTTCCTCCAGAGTGACAGCTTTCCTACAGCGCTTTTCGGAGCCCCTGCTCCCATTTGGACACAGAGAACCTTAGATTCTCCCTGCTTTTTGCAGAGGGAAGATGGTGGAAGGTAAAAGACGCATTTTGAAGAGAGTTTGGAGAGTCTGTGGTCTTACTAAGAAACGAAGACGTGGAAAAAAACTTTGCAACAACTGGGGTGGTTTTGCCTAGGAAAAAGGAGAAGCCTGGGAGCGGAGGGTGGGGAGAGCAGCTAAAAGCAGGATCAGAAGTTTGGCGATGTCCTCACGCTTATCTGATAAACATTTGGAGTGTCCTGCACTTGAAGGAGGGGGTTAGATTTATTCCCTTGGAAACCAAAACGTGGAACCAAAGGGTGCAAACCGGATGGAAACACGTTTCTACTCAAATACAGAGAAAGGCGTGCCTGTACGGTGAGCCGCTGGAAACTGCCGAGGCGCTGAGAGCTTTG